GCTCTCCATGTTTTCTCACCTCCGTGAGGTTCCTTGTTCTCCCAGTCTGTGCTTCTGTGATTGAAGTCCCCCATGATGAGCAGATGGGATCTATTTCTACAGACAGCAGTGGCTGCTCTCTCAATTATAGTGTTAACTACCATGTAGTTTCTGTCATACTTTTGCCTGGATCTTCTGTCGTTTGGTGGAGGGTTATATATCACTGCTACTATTACTCTTGGTCTTCCCATCCTCACGGTGCCTGTTATGTAGTCTCTGAACCCCTTGCAGCCTGGAATAACCATCTCCTTGAAACTCTATTCCTTTCTTATCAGTAGGGCCACAGATCACAACATAACTGAAGTTCTGTCAACCATGGGGAATAGACCTTCAAAGCCAGTCCAGATTCCCGGTGGAGGAGATTTCAGCATATTCAACTTCAATAATAAACAGATAAACTGGGAGCAAATAAACCAGGACTTTACAGAAATATACTGGGAAGAACAGCTAGAAAATGCAAACCTGAACCAGTGCCAGGAAAAAATAAGCTCAGTAGCACTAGAAATATGTTCAAACCGCATACCCCTAAGAAAAAAGAGGAAAAGATGCAGATTGGAACGGGAACATCGTTCCCTCTATAGGCGAAGAAAACGAATTACGGAACAACTTGAGAGTCGCACCCTATCTCAAGAACGGCGAAGAAAGTTAGGTAGAGAAATAGAAACAATTGAACTCAAGCTACAAGAATCATACAAAACCCAGGAGAGGCAAAGAGAGCAAAAGGCCATCAGTGAAATAGAGACAAATCCGAAATATTTTTTCTCCTATGCAAAATCAAGATCAAAAACCACATCTAGTATCGGGCCCCTGCGAAAGGGAGATGGAACTTTCACCGATGACAACAAAGAAATGAGCGAGCTACTGAGGAAGCAGTACGACTCTGTTTTCAGTGAGCCACTAAACACACTAAAGATTGATAACCCAAATTAATTTTTCATGGATATGATACCAACATCAAATCATATATTAGACGTTATCCTATCCCCACTGGATTTTGAAGAAGCCATAAATAGTATGCCTATGCACTCTGCACTAGGCCCGGATTCTTGGAATTCCATATTCATCAAGAACTGTAAAAAAAACTATTGCAGGCCCTTCACATTTTGTGGAGACAAAGCCTAGATACTGGCGTTATCCCTGACATACTAAAAACAGCAGAGATAGCACCACTCCATAAAGGAGGAAATAAGGCAGAGGCAAAAAATTACAGACCGATAGCACTAACATTGCACATCATAAAAATTTTTGAGAGAGTGCTAAGAAGTAAGATCACAAAATACATGGAATCACAGCATCTCCATAACCCCGGACAACATGATTTCAGAACAGGGCGCTCATGCCAGTCGCAGTTGCTGGACCACTATGATATGGCATTAGATGCTATGGAAGACAAACAAAACGCGGATGTAATTTACACAGACTTCGCAAAAACCTTTGATAAATGGACCATGGTGTTATTGCACATAAAATGCGTTCAAAAGGAATTTCCGGAAAAATAGGTAGATGGATCTACAATTTCCTGACTAAGAGAACCCAATGTGTAATAGTCAACAAAATATAATCCAGCCATCAACCGTGAAGAGCTCAGTCCCCCAGGGTACTGTGCTTGCTCCAGTACTTTTTCTCATCCTCATATCGGACATAGACAAGAACACAACCTATAGCACTGTATCATCCTTTGCAGATGACACTAGGATCTTCATGAGAGTTGGCAACATAGAGGACACGGCAAACCTCCAATCAGATGTAGATCAGGTCTTTCTAAGGTCTACAAAAAATAATTTGGTGTTTAACGAAGATAAGTTCCAGCTGATGCGCTATGGAAAACATGAAAATATAAAAACGGAAACCACATACAAAACTCATGCAAATCATAACATAGAACGAAAAGGCAATGTAAAGGATCTCAGTGTACTCATGTCGAAAGACCTTACCTTTAAAGAACACAATAAAGTAGCCGTCACAACTGCAAGAAAAATGACAGGTTGGTTAACAAGAACTTTTCACGCTAGAGATGCTGTACCGATGATGATACTTTTCAAAACGCTTGTGCTCTCTAGAGTGGAGTACTGCTGCACAATCACAGCCCCTTTCAAAGCTGGAGAAATTGCTGACCTGGAGAGCGTGCAGAGATCCTTTACTGCTAGAATCAACTCAGTAAAACATCTAAACTACTGGGACCGACTGAAGAGCCTAAATCTGTATTCTCTTGAGCGCAGGCGGGAGAGATACATAATAATCTATTTGTGGAAAATATTAGAGGGGCTGGTCCCAAACCTGCACACAGAAATAACGTCACATGAGACCAGAAGGCATGGCAGGATGTGCAGAATACCCTTGTTAAAAAGCAGAGGTGCAACAGGTACTCTGAGAGAGAACTCTATCAACATCAGAGGCCCGAGACTGTTCAACACGCTTCCACTACACATAAGGGGCATAACAGGCAGACCCCTCATAGTGTTCAAGAGAGAACTTGAGAAACACCTCCAAAGGATACCTGATCAACCAGGCTGTGACTCATATGCAGGCTGTGAGCAGCCACGTCCAACAGCCTGGTTGATCAGTCCAGCAACTAGGAGGCCTGGTCGATGACCGGGCCGCGGGGACGCTAAGTCCCGGAAGCACCTCAAGGTAACCAAGGTCAAGGGCCGCTCTGCCTTCTCCCCTTTCTTCCCTCTCTCTTTCCTTATTACAGTGTAGTCCCGGGGAACACCGTATTCGTTATGATTCCTGAGAGTTTTGTTTCTGTGAGTCCAATTTCATCCGGATTCCCTTCTTGTGCTCTTTCCCTAAGTTCACTTGTCTTGCTTGTAATACCATCTGTGTTCGAGTACATTACCTAGATACTGATTCTCTTCTCTCCATCTTCAGTTTCTGTTGATTTCACTGGAAGAGGGGGACAACGGATGTCTGGGGTGGGAGGGTGCTGGGAAGATCTGGTATAGGGAAGCTAGGAGGGTCTGGGGGCTGTAGCTTAAAGGGTCTGGGGTTGGGGGTCAATTAATGCATGGGATGGTGCAGCAGGAGCAGGGTCGTAGTCCTAATGGCCCGGGTTCGATCCCCGGAAGAGGCAAAAACAAACGGACAGAGATTCTTTCACCCAGGTACACCTGCTCCCCTAGCAGTAAATAGGTACCTGTGCATTAAACAGCTGCTACGGGCTGCTTCCTGGGGATGTGTGTGAGTGTGTAAGAGAAATAAATGTAGTAGACATAACAGAGGAAAAATAGATTGGTTAGAAAGGCAGGGTCCAAGAGCTAATAGCTCGATTCTGCAGACACAAATAGTAAACACACTGAACAAGGACTACAGTAACCACTCGCTCTGAACTTCAGAATACACCCACATTGGCAGTGATGTGGTGGAGGCTGACTCCATACACAGTTTCAAGTGTAGATATGATAGAGCCCAGTAGGCTCAGGAACATATACATTAGTTGATTGACAGGTGAGAGGCGGGACCAAAGAGCCAGAGCTCAACCCCCGCAAGCACAACTGGGTGAGCACAGTCTCACATCACCAGATAAATTCCATTACTGTTTTCTTACTGAAGAACAACTGGGGTGAAAATAATTGTGTAGAAACCTTGCACAAGTACACGCAATTTTCCCACGTAATGAGTTCCCGCAGACCTGAGCACTGAACAACGACCTATCGCATTTTATCTCCATGTGTTCACTGGAGCAGGTAAAGCCCATAATGTATCTGAGACAAGTTTCAAAGTGAACGTTTTGCGTGCGGTGGCTTGTGTGTGTGAGGGCGCTCTCAGTCCGGTGTTTGTGTGTGTGTGTGAGGGCGCCTCAGGCCGGTGTTTGTGTGTGTGTGAGGGCGCTCTCAGTCCGGTGTTTGTGTGTGTGTGAGGGCGCCTCAGGCCGGTGTTTGTGTGTGTGTGAGCGCGCTCTCAGTCCGGTGTTTGTGTGTGTGAGAGCGCTCTCAGGCCAGTGTTTGTGTGTGTGTGAGGGCGCTCTCAGTCCGGTGTTTGTGTGTGTGTGAGGGCGCTCTCAGGCCGGTGTTTGTGTGTGTGTGAGGGCGCTCTCAGGCCGGTGTTTGTGTGTGTGAGGGCGCTCTCAGGCCGGTATTTGTGTGTGTGTGAGGGCGCTCTCAGGCCGGTGTTTGTGTGTGTGAGGGCGCTCTCAGGCCGGTATTTGTGTGTGTGTGAGGGCGCTCTCAGGCCGGTGTTTGTGTGTGTGAGAGCGCTCTCAGGCCGGTGTTTGTGTGTGTGAGAGCGCTCTCAGTCCGGTGTTTGTGTGTGTGAGAGCGCTCTCAGTCCGGTGTTTGTGTGTGTGAGAGCGCTCTCAGTCCGGTGTTTGTGTGTGTGTGAGGGCGCTCTCAGGCCGGTGTTTGTGTGTGTGTGAGGGCGCTCTCAGGCCGGTGTTTGTGTGTGTGTGGGCGCTCTCAGGCCGGTGTTTGTGTGTGTGTGAGGGCGCTCTCAGGCCGGTGTTTGTGTGTGTGTGAGGGCGCTCTCAGGCCGGTGTTTGTGTGTGTGTGAGGGCGCTCTCAGGCCGGTGTTTGTGTGTGTGTGAGGGCGCTCTCAGGCCGGTGTTTGTGTGTGTGTGAGAGCGCTCTCAGGCCGGTGTTTGTGTGTGTGTGAGGGCGCTCTCAGGCCGGTGTTTGTGTGTGTGTGAGGGCGCTCTCAGGCCGGTGTTTGTGTGTGTGAGGACGCTCTCAGGTTGGTGTTTGTGTGTGTGAGGACGCTCTCATGCCGGTGTTTGTGTGTGTGTGAGGGCGCTCTCAGTCCGGTGTTTGTGTGTGTGTGAGGGCGCTCTCAGGCCGGTGTGTGTGTGTGTGAGAGCGCGCTCTCTCCCTCTCTCTCTCTCTCCCAGTACTGGATGTTGAGTAACACCCAGTAAATGCTACTCAGCAAGAGTAACTGAGCCACTTCTCATCAGAAGAACAGGTAATTCAGCACAGCGTGTCAGCACCGGCCAGAACACACGCCTCAGCGCTCACCGCCTCCAGATCTCAATGACACCAGATGCCGATGGACACACCTTGTCCTCCGCCGTGAACGGAATCTGTAGGATGAATAATGTGCCATACTAGGTCCCTGGGGAGGACGTAGGCAGCCTCCAGGTCCCTGTAGCGTCCCTGTAGCGTCCCTGTAGCGTCCCTGTAGCGTCCCTGTAGCGTCCCTGTAGCGTCCCTGTAGCGTCCCTGTAGCATCCCTGTAGCGTTCCTGTAGCGTCCCTGTAGCGTCCCTGTAGCGTCCCTATAGCGTCCCTGTAGCGTCAATGTAGCGTCCCTGTAGCATCCCTGTAGCATCCCTGTAGCGTCCCTGTAGCGTCCCTGTAGCGTCCCTGTAGCGTCCCTGTAGCGTCCCTGTAGCGTCCCTGTAGCGTCCCTGTAGCGTCCCTGTAGCGTCCCTGTAGCCTCCCTGTAGCGTCCCTGTAGCGTCCCTGTAGCGTCCCTGTAGCGTCCCTGTAGCGTCCCTGTAGCATCCCTGTAGCATCCCTGTAGCGTCCCTGTAGCGTCCCTGTAGCGTCCCGGTAGCGTCCCTGTAGCGTCCCTGTAGCGTCCCTGTAGCGTCCCTGTAGCGTCCCTGTAGCGTCCCTGTAGCGTCCCTGTAGCGTCCCTGTAGCGTCCCTGTAGCATCCCTGTAGCGTCCCTGTAGCGTCCCTGTAGCGTCCCTGTAGCGTCCCTGTAGCGTCCCTGTAGCGTCCCTGTAGCATCCCTGTAGCATCCCTGTAGCGTCCCTGTAGCGTCCCTGTAGCGTCCCTGTAGCGTCCCTGTAGCGTCCCTGTTGTGCATGCGGTCAGGGACTGTCTCCTCGACTCCTCACCCCTGTAGTGTGGGGCTCGGTGAGGCGTCTGGACCCCTTCAGCTCTCCCACTCATGGCCGAAACGATGGACAGTACCCGTCTACTGATGGTCGACGGTGATGGACAGTACCCGTCTATTGATGGTCGACGGTGATGGACAGTACCCGTCTACTGATGGTCGACGGTGAGGGACAGTACCCGTCTACTGATGGTCGACGGTGATGGACAGTACCCGTCTACTGATGGTCGACGGTGAGGGACAGTACCCGTCTACTGATGGTCGACGGTGATGGACAGCACCCGTCTACTGATGGTCGACGGTGAGGGACAGTACCCGTCTACTGATGGTCGACGGTGAGGGACAGTACCCGTCTACTGATGGTCGACGGTGAGGGACAGTACCAGTCTACTGATGGTCGACGGTGAGGGACAGTACCCGTCTACTGATGGTCGACGGTGAGGGACAGTACCCGTCTACTGATGGTCGACGGTGATGGACAGTACCCGTCTACTGATGGTCGACGGTGAGGGACAGTACCCGTCTACTGATGGTCGACGGTGATGGACAGTACCCGTCTACGACGGTGATGGTCGACGGTGAGGGACAGTACCCGTCTACTGATGGTCGACGGTGAGGGACAGTACCCGTCTACTGATGGTCGACGGTGAGGGACAGTACCCGTCTACTGATGGTCGACGGTGAGGGACAGTACCCGTCTACTGATGGTCGACGGTGAGACAGTACCCGTCTACTGATGGTCGACGGTGAGGGACAGACAGTACCCGTCTACTGATGGTCGACGGTGAGGGACAGTACCCGTCTACTGATGGTCGACGGTGGACAGTACCCGTCTACTGACAGTACCCGTCTACTGATGGTCGACGGTGGACAGTACCCGTCTACTGATGGTCGACGGTGAGGGACAGTACCCGTCTACTGATGGTCGACGGTGGACAGTACCCGTCTACTGATGGTCGACGGTGAGGGACAGTACCCGTCTACTGATGGTCGACGGTGGACAGTACCCGTCTACTGATGGTCGACGGTGAGGGACAGTACCCGTCTACTGATGGTCGACGGTGGACAGTACCCGTCTACTGATGGTCGACGGTGAGGGACAGTACCCGTCTACTGATGGTCGACGGTGGACAGTACCCGTCTACTGATGGTCGACGGTGAGGGACAGTACAGTACCAGTACCCGTCTACTGATGGTCGACGGTGAGACAGTACCCGTCTACTGATGGTCGACGGTGGTCGACGGTGACAGTACCCGTCTACTGATGGTCGACGGTGAGACAGTACCCGTCTACTGATGGTCGACGGTGAGGGACAGTACCCGTCTACTGATGGTCGACGGTGAGGGACAGTACCCGTCTACTGATGGTCGACGGTGAGGGACAGTACCCGTCTACTGATGGTCGACGGTGAGGGACAGTACCCGTCTACTGATGGTCGACGGTGAGAGACAGTACCCGTCTACTGATGGTCGACGGTGAGAGACAGTACCCGTCTACTGATGGTCGACGGTGAGGGACAGTACCCGTCTACTGATGGTCGACGGTGAGGGACAGTACCCGTCTACTGATGGTCGACGGTGAGGGACAGTACCCGTCTACTGATGGTCGACGGTGAGAGACAGTACCCGTCTACTGATGGTCGACGGTGAGGGACAGTACCCGTCTACTGATGGTCGACGGTGAGGGACAGTACCCGTCTACTGATGGTCGACGGTGAGAGACAGTACCCGTCTACTGATGGTCGACGGTGAGGGACAGTACCCGTCTACTGATGGTCGACGGTGGACAGTACCCGTCTACTGATGGTCGACGGTGAGGGACAGTACCCGTCTACTGATGGTCACGGTGACAGTACCGTCTACTGATGGTCGACGGTGAGGGACAGTACCCGTCTACTGATGGTCGACGGTGGACAGTACCCGTCTACTGATGGTCGACGGTGAGGGACAGTACCCGTCTACTGATGGTCGACGGTGGACAGTACCCGTCTACTGATGGTCGACGGTGAGGGACAGTACCCGTCTACTGATGGTCGACGGTGGACAGTACCCGTCTACTGATGGTCGACGGTGAGGGACAGTACCCGTCTACTGATGGTCGACGGTGGACAGTACCCGTCTACTGATGGTCGACGGTGAGGGACAGTACCCGTCTACTGATGGTCGACGGTGAGGGACAGTACCCGTCTACTGATGGTCGACGGTGGACAGTACCCGTCTACTGATGGTCGACGGTGAGGGACAGTACCCGTCTACTGATGGTCGACGGTGAGACAGTACCCGTCTACTGATGGTCGACGGTGAGGGACAGTACCCGTCTACTGATGGTCGACGGTGAGGGACAGTACCCGTCTACTGATGGTCGACGGTGAGGGACAGTACCCGTCTACTGATGGTCGACGGTGGACAGTACCCGTCTACTGATGGTCGACGGTGAGGGACAGTACCCGTCTACTGATGGTCGACGGTGGACAGTACCCGTCTACTGATGGTCGACGGTGAGGGACAGTACCCGTCTACTGATGGTCGACGGCTGATGGTCGACGGTGAGGGACAGTACCCGTCTACTGATGGTCGACGGTGGACAGTACCCGTCTACTGATGGTCGACGGTGAGGGACAGTACCCGTCTACTGATGGTCGACGGTGAGGGACAGTACCCGTCTACTGATGGTCGACGGTGAGGGATAGTACCCGTCTACTGATGGTCGACGGTGGACAGTACCCGTCTACTGATGGTCGACGGTGAGGGACAGTACCCGTCTACTGATGGTCGACGGTGATGGACAGTACCCGTCTACTGATGGTCGACGGGGAGGGACAGTACCCGTCTACTGATGGTCGACGGTGGACAGTACCCGTCTACTGATGGTCGACGGTGAGGGACAGTACCCGTCTACTGATGGTCGACGGTGAGGGACAGTACCCGTCTACTGATGGTCGACGGTGGACAGTACCCGTCTACTGATGGTCGACGGTGAGGGACAGTACCCGTCTACTGATGGTCGACGGTGGACAGTACCCGTCTACTGATGGTGGGACAGTACCCGTCTACTGATGGTCGACGGTGAGGGATAGTACCCGTCTACTGATGGTCGACGGTGGACAGTACCCGTCTACTGATGGTCGACGGTGAGGGACAGTACCCGTCTATTGATGGTCGACGGTGAGAGACAGTACCCGTCTACTGATGGTCGACGGTGGACAGTACCCAACTACTCACGGTCGACAGTGAAGGTTAACTTGAGTTGATTTCGGGGCTTTAGTGTCTCCGCGGCCCGGTCCTCGACCAGGCCTCCACCCCCAGGAAGCAGCCCGGTGACAGCTGACTAACACCCAGGTACCTATTTACTGCTAGGTAACAGAGGCATAGGGTGAAAGAAACTCTGCCCATCGTTTCTCGCTGGCGCCCGAGATCGAACCCGGGACCACAGAATTACGTGTCCAGCGTGTTGTCCGCTCGGCTAGCTCGACCTTCGATCTTAAGACAAAGTTCCCGCTCAAATTTCTTGTCAACTTCGGGCAAGAAGTGCCTAGCCTCACCGTCGAGTGCTTCCTCCCAACCACCATAGTTTGTATGATCTTAGGGACACACGAAGCAAATGATCCTTTCAAAGGCCATTCAGTGTTGGTCAGATCGAGCATATGGAAATATTTCATATTTTTGACCAAATAAGTTCTTTTTAGAGCTCACGAGCGCCTATTTTGGGCTCATGAGCGTTGATTTTGAGCTCATGAGCGTTGATTTTGAGCTCATGAGCGTTGATTTTGGGCTCATGAGCGTTGATTTTGAGCTCACGAGCGCCGATTTTGGGCTCATGAGCGTTGATTTTGAGCTCATGAGCGTTGATTTTGAGCTCATGAGCGTTGATTTTGAGCTCATGAGCGTTGATTTTGAGCTCATGAACGTTGATTTTAGGCTCATGAACGTTGATTTTGGGCTCATGAACGTTGATTTTAGGCTCATGAGCGTTGATTTTGAGCTCATGAGTGTTGATTTTGGGCTCATGAACATTGATTTTAGGCTAATGAACGTTGATTTTGAGCTCATGAGCGTTGATTTTGGGCTCATGAACGTTGATTATGGGCTCATGACCGTTGATTTTGGGCTCATGACCGTTGATTTTGGGCTCATGAACGTTGATTTTGGGCTCATGAACGTTGATTTTGGGCTCATGACCGTTGATTTTTGGCTCATGACCGTTGATTTTGGGCTCATGACCGTTGATTTTGGGCTCATGAACGTTGATTTTGGGCTCATGAACGTTGATTTTGGGATCATGAACATTGATTTTAGGCTCATGAACGTTGATTTTAAGCTCATGAGTGTTGATTTTGAGCTCATGAGCGTTGATTTTGGGCTCATGAACGTTGATTTTGAGCTCATGAGCGCTGATTTTGAGCTCACGAGCGCTGATTTTGAGCTCACGAGCGCTGATTTTGAGCTCACGAGCGCCGATTTTGAGCTCACGAGCGCTGATTTTGAGCTCACGAGCCCAAAAAACACAAAAATAAAGGAAACCCAAAAATCCTGGTAATAAGTAAAAGGGAAACAGTTACTAAGGCTCAACTTTCCTGTCTTGAAGAATTTATCAGAAAATTTTACTTGTTCAACAACAGCTGCTGACTGTCTGGAAGATGGCAACTATCAGGGGGAAGCGCCAAGCCATTACCACTATATAGCACTGGGAAGGTGTCAGGATAAGGATATGGGATGGGACGGCGGGAAGGAATGGTGCCCAACCACTTTGACGATCGGGGATTGAACGCCGACCTGCATGACGTAATGCCGGCACTGGACGAGGGGCTGAGGCAACACCTGTGAGGGAAGAGGATGAGGCAGGTGTCTCACCTGTGTCGTGCTGAGGCAAGTGTCTCACCTGTGTCGTGCTGAGGCAAGTGTCTCACCTGTGTCGTGCTGAGGCAGGTGTCTCACCTGTGTCGTGCTGAGGACTGGTGTCTCACCTGTGT